GCACGACTGGACACACATTCCCTTGGGCTGACGCACGGTAAGCTTATACAGACACTGCCTGCGCACCACCCAATACAGACACTGCCTGCGCACCACCCAGTACAGACACTGCCTGCGCACCACCCAAGGGTTGTCCATGGTGTTCTATGTCGGGTCTTGATACTGCGTGGGTTGCTTGTGGCTATTGCTCGTGGTTGTTCTGTTGATCTCCCCAGTCTGGCATATCACACACAGGGGCCGTTTGCCATTGTTGCTCAAATGGTAGAGTCTGATGCAATCAGACTCGTTCTCATTCACACTTTTCATGCATGTAAACAGTAGCGCAGCAAACTGGCGACATGCGCCCACTCAAAACTCAGAGGTATAGCATCCAGATACGAGTTCACTTGCAACTGGCTATGGCGACTCAGCGCCCAAACAACTCACTGTTCACATACATCGGATCACCCTGAATATCCCACACGCGTCACTCTGAACACTCGCACACACACAAACTCTTCACACTAAACTACAGCTATGGCAGCTATGGCTACCTCTACCCTATCGCTATGCTACGCTCCTCTCTCTCGCCCACTTCAGCTCCGGGCTCTCTGCAGACCTCCTTGCACAAGTCGCTGCGGCAGCGCTTCCGCATGGCTCACGCAGGAATGATTGAATGGCTGGGCGCTGCCTCTTGATTTATACTTCTGAAACTCGGTGGTCTGCCCCTTTCCATCGGCCCATGGTGCTCACAGTCCCCCGTGGTACTTGCTGGACCGGACTGGGACTGACTGGACCTTACCGCTGACTGACTGTGGACTCACTGCTAACCTACCGTAGTCGTATTGCGATTGCACTGCAGTTTAGTCCACCACTTGACTCACCACTTGCCCACTTGCCCACTTGCTGACCTTCTAGAAGGACTACAGCTAGGCTTCTGGAACTTGCTAAGACTCCTACTCTATAGATCTACAGATCGAACCCCTGCTTCCTATGGGACCCTACTCTATAGATCTACAGACTACGAACTGTTACAAATACACAGGTCGTGGGTTCAAGCCTTGAGGCCGACACAGATACTGTACATCGGTGGGGTGAGGACTAGGGGTCGAACCCTGGGGTCTGCATCTGCTACTGCAAAAGGTGAAAACCGTTTCACTTCAGGTCATATGTCATAGATCATGGGTTCGAGTCTGGCTGGGGACTTCGGGGGGGGTTCTTGTCCAGCTTCGCCTGTCATCTCTTCAAACAGAGCACATAGTTCCCTCTACACAGCACTGCACATATCTGGCCTTCGGGCACATACATCTCGTTATACAGTTACACAGAGCACACATAGACTGCACATATCTGGCCTTCGGGCGCATACATCTCGCTATACAGGTACACAGAGCCTTCGGGCAGATACAAAAACACATGGCCCTATGGGCTCATACAAACATACATAGCCTCGAGGCATACCCACATACACACAAATTACGATACTGGGCTGGGGGGGTCTATCAGGTATATGAGGGGGTCTACTAACGCATGGCTTAGCTCTAGGGTAGGGGTAGGGATATAAGTCGCTCCGGCTAGTCTGAGCTCCGCCTAGCCTTGGGTAAGCTAGGGGAAGGACTGTAGGATGTGTTTGTGGGTGCTGGCCTGCCTTGCTTAGGTAATCCTGCTGGGTAGACTCGTGAATTGGGCCTGTAGAAGATTGCATGAGCCTGGCGTCCAAAGTTCCCATATGGCAAGGTTCGTCCACTTCCGCTTCCATCAGGGCTGGGAGGTTGGCCCAGCCTTGGTGCTTGTCACTGCTGTCTGGTCCAAGTTGCCTGGCGTCCGAAGTTCCCGTACGGCAAGGTTCGTCCGCTTCCGCTTCCATCAGGGCTGGGAGGTTGGCCCAGCCTTGGTGCTTGTCACTGCTGTCTGGTCCAAGTTGCCCTCGATACTGGTAGGGTGATGGTCCTGAGTGCTGGTCACACTGAGGTAGGATAGTAGAGGCAGGGGGTGCGCTGGGAGTATTAACGTGGGGATGGGTAGGGAAGGTGGCCTATCCTGTCAGGACAACCATTGGTTGCCACTACTAGCAATCACCACGGGTCTGGTCCTTGGCCTCGACAACACCCTGGGCATAATAATAAAAAAAAAAAAAAAAGAGGGAGAAATGGTCCGCATTTCTGAGTGCACGTGGAGATCAAGGCTTCTCCCAAGGGCATGCCTGAAAAACAAAACAGAAAAAGAAAAGAAAGGGCAGGAGAATCTGAGCAGATTGAACTGGAGTGTGAGAATAGGGATTCTTAGATAGCCTACCTGGGAGGTGAGAGAGAGGATAGTGGTGGTCATTAGCCACCATAGCTGGAAAGCTCCAAGCGGCTAGCCCCAGCAGCATTGAGGCTGCCGTGGGCTGGTGCTACCCTAGGGACTGCCTGCGCCAGGAAGTCGGTGGCAATGAGGTTCAGCAATCAAGCACCGTGATTGCAGAGGCACGGTTTCATGCCCGGGTGAGACATAATTCGTTGACGATGGAGGACAATAGACCTAAGGAGAAAGACACAGCAGAGAGGTGCCATCTGGGGAGCCTGGAGATTACTCTGCTTCAAGAGTTTTCCTGCTGTGGCTCCACTCACTACACAGAAGAGGAGGAAAAAGAGGGAGGAAAAAGGGGGAGGAAAAAGAGGGAGGAGTGCGCAGAAAGGGAGAGTTCTCTCTCTCTCTCTCTCTCTCTCTCTCTCTCTCTCTCTCTCTCTCTCTCTCTCTCTCTCTCTCTCTCTCTCGCGAGCACACACACACACACACACACACACACACACACACACACACACACACACACACACACACACACACACATGCACTCACGTACACATTCTCCCTTTCGCAAGTGAACATTTGTCACTCTCTCGTGTACTCACATACACATTCTCCCTCTCACAGATGAACATTTGTCAGGTGGCGTCCCGGCTGTTGATGGTGGTAACCTCCAGTGTGCTGGTTTTTCCATATAATGTAAGTGGTAGTCCACTTTGTCCCCTGCTGCGTCCATGGGTTCCTGTGTTGCTAGCTGTCTGCTGAGCTAATGTCAATTGCACGCCCACCTATGTGCTTGTTTGCCTTGCTGTTCAGTGGCTTGTTCCCTAGCTGCTGGTCGTGCTGCGCTGCTGCTTGCCCTGCCTCACTGCCTCACTGCCTCACTGCCTTGCTGCCTTGCTGCCTTGCTGCCTTGCTGCCTTGTCATTATTATTATTGTAAGTTCTTTTTCTCCTAAGATTTTCTGTGTGTCGTTGTTTACTTGCTATATGGTTTTGGCTTTTGAAGTGTTTTTCTTTTCTTTTCTTTTCTTTTCTTTTTGTATTTGAAGTGTTTTTCTAAGGACTGAATTCCAGTACCTTGAATTTGTGCCTCGATAGAGTTCGCGGAAAACCAGCTAACAGTGGGTGCCACACTGTATGGAGTGTTTGCAATACTAGTAAGGGGGCGGCTGTGCTTCAGATGCATGTGTCTCAGTGTTTTCTCCTGGTGATGGACGTTCGGTGGGTGGTTCCTTGGGTCTTGATGGTCGCATGAACCTACAGTCTGCTGGGTTTTCCATATGCTGTGAGTAGGAGATAGTCCACGTGGTTCCAGTGCCTTGTTCCATTGCTGATTACTGTGCTGGCTTGTGGCCTCGTTCACTTGCTGGTCATCAACGTCAATATGCTGCCTCCCTGCTTTGCCGCCCTCCTGCCTTCCCATCATCATTTCTATGCACTGTTCGTTCTCTTGTGGTCATTTTTGTCGTTTCCACATCCGTGCATGCGTGTTTGTGCTCGTATGTGAGTGGGTCCCTGGACTCCCTACTCCTTTTGTCATTTATGTGCGCTCTTCCTTTCTTTTGTTGCTGTTTCCTCCTTTCTGCACTCACTTCCTGCGTGCATATCCTCGTTTTCTTTTTCTCTTTTTTCGGTCACTCTTTCCATCTCTCGTCTCCCTGTTGTCCTTTTCATGGACTCTGTCCGTCTCTGCACAACTCCCACAATCAGACGATGGGCTTTGCGAGACAATTGGATAGATCAACGCCCATCCCTGTTCCCTCCAGAAAATACTTCGCCCGTGTTCCATGGCCGGCAGCAAACATTCCGTGAGTTAGAGAACCGCAGAAACTTGGACAAGCGCTGTCTATATGCTCCGATCCACGGACTTGACGATATGTTCGACTGTGTAGCGGTGTGCAGTGCACCATTTGACCGACCTCACGGCGGATACACCATAAGGGGAACGGATTATTATTGCTATTTTAATAAATAAATTTATTATATCCTATCCCTTAAGCAGCATTGGCCGCAGGGGGGAGGTCCATGACGCGCTGCGCGCCGGGATTCGGCTCGAAGTTTTAGCGAGGGGTGGCGGATGAAGGCGATCGAGGGTGGGAGAGTGTGCAGAGGGGTGAGCATACCGAAATGTTCACAGCGCGCCATTAAACGAGAGTGCGCGCCCCGGGGGCGGGGCTCACGGCTGGTGTTCATGCGGATTTTGTGTTTTTTTGCTTTCCCCAGTTGGCCGTCGTTTTGTGTCCCCCTTCTCCTTTTTCCATTCCTCACGCCTGTCGTTTTGTGTCCCGCATTATTTATTTTTTTTTCCTTCCTTCTTTTTTCATTTCTCGCGCGGCTGTTGTTTTGTGGCCCCCAGTAGGCCGTCCTTGTTTCTGCGGACAAACATCTTGGAGGCGAGCCATCCGAAATGCAGTGTGAGGTCACCGACGGCATTTGTTATTTCTGCGGGCACTTAGATAGTTGTGATTGTTGTTGTTCGGGCTGCTGTTGCTACCCTTGTTACTTTCCGTTCCTCTTTCTTTTTTTTTCATTTTTTCACCCCTTCACACAAACACGACCCCCTTTATATTCTGGGAGGGCACCGGTCCGGTTACTTATCCCCAGCAAGCATAATATCTGCAATCTAAGGAAAATTACGTGACCACAGAGCGTCAAGGATCGCCATTAGGCAGCGGGATACTTATTTAACTTATTTAAGTACCCAATCCTACCAAGTTAACTCTGGAGCCCTGAGGAAGAGATTCCCTTAATTTTCTACAACTCCATTGTACTCTCTCTTGATGTGTTGCCTCTCCGGCTATGAATGAACATTGGTCATTGATGTCGAATCATTGTTGATTGAACTGTATTGTTGCTGGAAATTTTGTATTAACCGGTGCACTCCTTTCTCCCGATTTCTCTTCTGTTCCTGGGTTGTTTCCTTACTCTTTCTTTCGCTCCATTGCATGGTGTGTTCTTGCTGATCCCATAGGGATTCTCTCTTGCAGTTTTAGGCATTTGGAAACACCATCTGTGCAAAAAAAGGAACAAAAGAAAAGAGGAATCTCATTGCATTTGGCACACCACTCACCCAAATCCCCATTTTGCTTTCCTTCACCGACTTTACATACAGGCCTTGACAACGGCAGTTTTGCAACAGTATGCGCGCAAGCACAACGTCGCCATTGATCGTTTAGGCATCAAGACCGTTGTTTGTAACCACTCCGTTGAAGAGGTAATGAAGTTATGAAGCTTTTTTTTTTGCTTTCCTGTTCTTGAGGGAGACTCAGATGTTTCTAGTAATGTAATGAGCCAAATAATATATAATATTATTATCTTGTTTTGAACTTTCGATATCTAATTGTTTAATTTTTAGCGCGCGGTTGATTGGGCAGGTCCTTCCTGCAATTGCCGTTCCATTTTTGGAGTAACATATCGCCTATTTCTTCCCTCGACGTTCTAAATGGCTTTTTAATTTCCAAGCAAACGATTGCTTGCACCTTACCTTTGAGGGCCGAGCCCCGCTGTCTGAAAACATAGTAGCAATGTGATCTTATATTAGTCCAATACCCCCTGACCAATGCCCATATATATATATATTTTTAAAGGAGCCGCTTTTGTCCTTTCATGGTCTACTGGGTAACAACGTACTACCGAAAATTGTGGCAAAGTATGGTACTGGACTAATTTAGGGAAAATGGAATAGTTTGAAAAAAAAAAAGGCAAAATGGAATAGTATACTCCAGAGGAGACTATTTGATAATAGTGGGCATCAGCCGCTCGGATTATCAGGCAGTGTGGCATGCCGTCCAATGGTATTGCACACACACTGATTTTGGCAGTACTGGGCCATTGCCAGCCCATATGCGGTCTCTGGTGGACGGTCCTTGGCTATTTGAAATAGCCGGGGTAATCCGCTTCTCACATTACCCAGTTTTGGTCCACACAGTGAGGACCTGTAAATGGTTTTCCAAATAAAATATTGTCGAGCCGACTGTGCGGCGAACGAAAATGAGTTCGTGAATGGGCACAAAAGACAAGTACCAGCGGGTCTTGCACGCGCCGAGTTTGGAAAAGCAAAAAAAGCCGCATGGCACTTCCATTATAAGCACAGCTGTCATATCTACAGGGCCGGGCCGTGGTCTGCGGAGGGCCTGAGTTGAAAAAAACAGCAAAAAAACATTACCACCATTGTGTGCTATTTTTGTAGTTTCAAACTACTGTCCGCCCGAAGTTGCTGTTTTCCCGTGCGGAACTCAAACCCTGACACCAGCGTAGTTGTTTCAATGTTGTTTGTACTTTTTTTTTTATCTTTTTCTTTTTTTTTTCTTTTTTTTTTTGCTTTCCTGTCCCCTCTTTTTTTTTTTTTNTTTTTTTTTTTTTTTTTTTTTAATCCTTGGGTGATGCGAGGAGTGCTGATAGGAGCAGGCACCACTAGCACACCCGGGCTGGCTCCATCTATTGGTGGGGAGCAACACCTGCTGGAAACATGTTGTTTGTACCTTGCTGGTATGTGAATTCCTTTCTGAATTCCAATAAAACATCACCCTTAAACGCCAACCCTAGCAGACGTCGTCTGGAGAACAGAACGCCAGGTCAGTACTCATTCTAAAACAAATGCATGTAAAGTTGTAAACCATTCCTGGATGTCACCCGGGCCAAGATTCCACTCGCAGAGATTGAAGGAATACTTTTTTTCTTTTTTTCTTTTTGAATAACTGAGAATATGAGAACATGGGAACAGCAGCCCTGAGATCTGCCAGCATTGATTACCCTGCTATGTTTGATCTTTTTTTATTTTCTTTATTATTATTATGTTCATTTTAAGGCCCTTGTGCAAGGCCTCTATCCCAGTGGTGGTAAGAGAACCTCCGGAATTGAGGCTTTGCTTGGTGGGCCTTGGTTACATATAATCAATATCGCTTAGTTTTCTTGTTTTTATTTTATGCCACCTGCAAGGAATACGAGACAGAGCGATCGACAGAAATCCAAGTTGCAAAATCACGAAGTATTCCAGATAGTCATGTACCAAGCAGAGAGCACAATGCACCAAGATACCATCCAAATAAGAGCAATACAATGAACTCGAGTCCCAATGCCAACGCTCTCTGGTCACACCAACACTGTATCCAATGTCGCTCCTACTGTCCGGCGCCCAGCGCCCAGCCTACACTACTCAGCCTATCTATCCTATCTACGTTCATGCGACTGGATCATATCAAACTTGAAGACCAATGTACGCGACGTCATCGCCAATGCCGACCGCCAGCATACACCAGGTACGTTCTCTCTCCTCCCCTCGTCATACCCTGTCTCCCCTCGGCATGCGCCTCCTACCGGAATTCCTGTCCCAGCTCACTAGCCTTTACCCAGACGCGTTCCCCTACCTGAAATGTGGACTGTTGACTATGCTTGTTCTCAGAGGCAATAATTGCCTCTTGAGACTTTCTGATGTGCTCGACAGCCTGCTGCAACAATTTTTCATACTGGACACCAAATTAAATGGTTCCAGGAGTTTCAGTCGGTAGGAGATGGTTTCAGTGGAGTCTTGGGGTACCAAGGTTGTTGTGGTCCCATCTGTGGGACCGACTGCTGGCCCGAAGCTGCAGCAGCTGGACCTGAGGATGAAGAAGCAGCAGTCTGTGCTGCTGCTGCTGACGTACCACTTTGTGGTAAGCCAAACTGAGGAACAAAGGGTCCTGTCATCGCCGGGTATAGTTGCGGCGATGGATATGCTGCCGGTGGCCAGAGACTGGGCCCGCCTGTTGTGGAAGGGACTGCTCTTCCCTTCCCCTGTACGGCACTCAGAATCTGGTCAAGGGTGGACTGGATGTCATCCAGTCTGCTGTCCATATACATGTGCATACTCAGCATGCTCGCCTTGATGACTTTACCTGCATGATCAAGGATTGAGTCATATAACCCCTCTAATGCAGGCATATCATCCTCTCTTCTCTCCATTCTGGTCTTTCTATTTCTAATCTTAGCTTCTTTTCCGGTGCATCCCTCAGTTGCTTCTCTAACTGTTAGCGGAGTAACTCGACTTGCTGGAGCTCTAAGTTCTAACTCCTCCCTAGTGGGCGGAGGGGGCTGGCTGTACTGCGAGCCTGCCATCTGACTGCTGGAGTATCCTGCACTCATCCCACTGGATGTTCTTTTTTTTTTTTTTTTTTTTTTTTTTTTTAAACACMCCCCCTGCAGAGACAAAGGACATTGCAAAGGTTCCTGAGGTCTGCGGCCCTTGAGAGGTCGCTGCAGAAGTTGCCATAGCTTCAGCACTAGCTATTGCTGCTGCTATCACGCGTTCCGTTTTTTTGCCGACGCGTGTCTTTTTTGCCCCCATTCGATACTCAAAGGTGACATAAACGTACTTACCCCTTTTGCTTTTTTTTTCTTTCGATTGGTGGGGAGCAACACCTGCTGGAAAACGGGGCCAGCCTTTATAAGCAAAGAGTCTTTCTTTTTTTTTTTTCCAAAGAGTCTTATATGGTATTGGCTGGGATGTTTTGGTGTGACAAATCCCTACACAATCGTCTCCTAACTGTGCATGGCTACCTTCTTCCCCCAAATGCAACGAACGGTCATTATAGCTGTATTTGAGGCATCTTTCAGTCTAGATACAGCTATAATGACCGTACATTGTATTCGGGGGAAGAAGGTAGCCGTGGACCATTATTTTCTTCACTCTTGTGAGTCTTGTCCATTTCTTCATCTCGAAAGAGACAACACGTAAGAACTGCGAAGTTGCTCAGATCTCTGACGTCAGTCGATTGATGTTTTGATCTGGTGATGATATGTGCATGACGTTGACTCAGATAAAGAGCCCTCCAGCTGATGGGTGCTACGTAACAGGTCTTTATTTGCAGAACGCTCGATGGGATAAAAGGACAGGATCATTGGCAGAGGCTAGAATCAAGGAGCTCTTCAGCCCCATGGGAGTAATATGGCTGAAGCCGATTATCCAACGCATGGACGATGGGGATGGAGATGGGAAGGTGGTGGCGAAGAGGAACCGACTGTCAGATGGAGCAGTTGACAAAGACACGGAGACGTATCTGACACCTGTCTATAGAACTCAAGTCCGCGGAGGTGAGAAATCGCACTGCCTACATAGTTTGAGCTGACTACGGTCCATTGAGGGGGTGGGGGACTTTGGGGGGCCTGAGGGATGACAATTACAATTGAGCTCTTGATTTTATTTTTTATTTTTTACTGCGAGGAGTGATATGAGCACCTCCTCGCAATATACCCGCCCACTGGTGGGAAGCTTCTGTGTGTGTGTGTGTGTGTGTGTGTGTGTGTGTGTGTGTGTGTGTGTGTGTGTGTGTGTGTGTGTGTGTGATATATATATATATATATATATATATATCGTCAAATATATATATATATATATATATATAGAGAGAGAGAGAGAGAGAGAGAGAGAGAGAGAGAGAGAGAGAGACGTACGAGGGACGTGGTTTGTCTGGGGGATGGTGGTTCTGAAAATCCCTCCTTTGGACCTTGCCATCATGCCAAGTATCATTTCTTTGCTTCTCCTCACTCCTTTTTCTCTTCCTTCCCCATACTTCATCCATTGGGAAAATCTCTACTTACAAAAGAGAGATCAGTAATTCACTGAAATACGCAAAAGATCCGCTCCTTTTCTTTCCATGGGATTCCATCATCGGTTGTTTGTCTGTCTTCTGATCTTAAAATAATTCTTCGACTGTTCTCTTCTTTTTGTTTTTTTTCTCGGCAGGTATCAGGACGGAGGCGGTAGACTTTGTGACTGCCTTGGAGTTGCCTTGTGGACAGTACTCTGCAATGCATTGGACATTACGGGGTGTCGCACTGATCTGCTCCTTGAATGAGTAGTCGATAATCTATGACACGAGTTCATCGTCCTGTTCTGGTTGGTCAAATCAGTCTTTGTATAATATCTGACACGAGTTACATCATCGGGTTTTCATTCGCCAAATCAGTCTTCTTATCCCAACGACAGTATTAGCAGGACAGTGAACATATTCTACTGTAACAGTTGTGGACACTGAGGTTGTTGGTAACTTACATGGTTTTGTGTCCCCACAGGACGGCAACAGAAGTGCTAGCAGGCACTTCCTGGAATGCGTAGTCAGACAATGAGTCGGTCATTCATTCAGTCAGTCAGTCAGTCAGTCAGTCAGTCAGTGAATCAACCAGCAATCTGGCAGTCGATCCATCAGACAGTCGGAAAGTCAGCCAGTCAGTCCGTCAATTCATCACCCAATGAGTCAGTCAGTGGCACGTCTAGTCATTGAGTCGCTGGTCAGTCCGGCAGCCAATCTGTCACTTATGGCATCTCTACTTTCCAGCCAGAGAGCTGTGGATGGACGGAGGCTCTCACCCCATGGCCTAGAGATTTCGGTAACATGGCTCCCCTTCACAACACTCCAGTTCCAGTTCCAGTTCCAGTTCCAGTTCCAGTTCCAGTTCCAGTTCCAGTTCCAGTGCTTAGGAATGGGCTTGGCAGCAGAGAGCATTTACCCACCATCAGCATCTGCAAAGGAGGAATGGATAGACCCCATAGAAATATGTTTGGACGTAAGGGAGGACGGGAAACTAATCTGGAAAAACTGGCTGGCACAGGAGAAGCAGTGGCATCTGAGACTGGACGCATGCTTATTTAAACATCTTCTGGGGGACAATTCCAGAGCATTGACGATGAGGGGAACCTCTCCCCCCCCCCGCCCCCCCAGCCGGCCGCAGGAACCCCCCAGCCTGGCACCACTTAGGGGATCGAGACAGGCATCCAGGATCAAGGCAGGGCTACCCAGCACTCCCCTCCCCCTCCCCCTACGTTCGGACCATCCTTCCCTCATCTGGCCGCCTCCCCTCCTTGCCTCTCCCAACCCCCTCCAGCCTTGCCGCAACCGGACCCTCCACCCTCAACTACCCCCTTAGTATCCCCTTCTTCTGCCTCCCTCTCCTCTTCCTGTCTCTTCCCATCCCCTCTCCCTTCAGACCCCCATCACCAACCCCTCCGCCCCCAACTCCCCACTTAGTACCCCTCTCCTCTTCCTGCCTCTTCCCACCCTCCGCCCTTCGGTCTCGCCAACACCAACCCCTTCACCCCCAAATGCCTTTCAGCACCTCCTCTTTCATCCTCTCTTAACAATTACACCACCAACCAGCAAGGCCAGCCAGAAGACAGCAGGAGTGCAGAAAATCCAGTGGAACAGCAGTGGCAACACTCGGAGTGAACCCTGGTACAAGGACCAGGGGGGGAAGGCAGATGACATGAGGTCTAAGCCGCTGCCTCCAGAATAGGAAAGATGGCATTTGGAACATCCGAGCACAGCCTTTGATGGGACTTCGTCCCTGTGTCTTACCTTCCAAAGCTGTGCCTATTTGAGAGAGAGAGGCAGCATGACGCCTCTCAGCTCAGAGTCCGAGGTTGGGCGGAAGAAGTCCAGAAGAAATGTAGACAGGAGGGTATCCTGCAGAGGGCAGGGGCATGGCAGACTCCAAGCTGAGTGCGACAATATAACAGGAATTGAAGAGTGGTAGTGAGCCCTCCCTTGTGTTTGATGCACAGTTAATCCTCTTGTAAAAGGACAATCAATGCTCCTCATTCCCACTCCCACAAGATCTGCACATGCCCCAATCTTGTAAATGGGATGCTGGAAACGCATGCTGGACCCGGTTTCCGGCTGGTGCAGCTCCCCACCAATAGACTGGAGCCCTCTACAAAAGGGGTTACTACAGGAGGATGCTCTTACCACCTACAACAGTAGATCCCCCGTGGATGTTCTTGCAAAAAACTAACAAACGAAAACAAAAAAAAAGCATCTGTTATCAGTGGATATAGTCAATCGATATCTGATATGATCAATGGATATTGTTATGATGGGTCGGCGCTTGCAACTGCAGCATTGGATCTTGTTTGACATAACCGTCACCATTGGACATGGGATGGCAACAGAGTATCTATCGTATAACAACAGATAGCATTCATGATGAATCAGGGCCTCGCCACACCACTCTCAAAATGTGAAAAAGACAAAAATGTGGCGGGCGCATCTTATGTTCTAGAGGGAAGTCCATTCTCATTTTGCACATTTCGAGAGTGGTGTGGCAACGCCCTCAGGCAGCTATGGATGTCATTGGTGATGTCAGCTGTAGTCAGAGAGACAAGTACTTTGGAAAGTGTAGTTCGGATCTCATTGACTCACCAGGTGTACTCCACAGTGGTGAGCTTTGCCCAGTGAGACTACTGGTTGTGCTTCAACGACTTATTTCAAGGAAATTCCTCAAAGGAAATTGGGGCTCCGCAGCCAAGACGGGAATTCGTTGTTTCCAACAGCGGTGGCGCTTGCCTTCGAAGACCCCCAAAAAACAGAAGAAACAACAGCGGACATGGCAGGTTTTGAGTTCAAAAAGGCACAAAAACACAAAATGTCACTGTGCTCATGGCGCGAGTTTGAAATGGCAATTTCAGTTAACAAATAAATATATGTATGTGCGAGGCTACGCCCGCTTAGCCCCTACGGGGCCCTATCTGCAACAAGGTCGGCCGCCCTAAGTGAAGGCAGGCACGACAGGCCCTTCGGGCCTCATTCTTCAGGGTACCCCGCAACGGGGAAATTCAGACAGTTGCGTTGCGCCAGTTGGTTGAATGAATCCAGGCCCTGGGCCGCCTGTGTGAATGAATGTGAAGCAGGCCCTGGGCTGGATACGGGTACCAGGCCAAACACAGGCCGAAAGCAGTTGGGCACATGCAACCACTTCAGGCCCCAGGCCTGCTCCCTTCGTGACTGGGCCTGTGCCTACCGGGGCCTACCGGAAGTTTCCTGGACTGGACGCAGGCAGGCCACTTGGATATAGGGAAGGGCCTGCCTCCTCATTCGGCATTCGGGTGCTGGCTGCATGCTGCGTGAGCGCTGCTGCGCAATCCGCTGGCTGGCTGGCACTCACGCTCTCACGGGCGAGTAGGAGGGAGCACGCAGCCATAGCCAAGYTGCGCTGCTGTATGCTAGGTGAAGCGCAGGKTGGTCCTTGGGGTGCTAGTGGCATCTGTGYGGTGTGGATCRGGGTTGTGAGTGTTRCGAGAGACATACCTGGTGCTGAAGCGTGCGACATTGGTCGCCATATGCTCGTACTCCGGGAACGCTGTTGATGTCATCATTCTGCTTCGTAGTATAGGCTAGATAGGATCTGCCACCTGTAGTCTGGGCGCCGAGCGCCAATAGGATATCAACTCTGGTTCGTAGTTGATGATGATGGGACTACTTCAGCATTGTCAATTTTGAACTCTTGGTGTGTTCTTATTTGGTGTATCTCGTGATGCCAGTATGCTGTGGTTCGAGGTCAAGAATATCTGGGCTCATATGTATGATGCTGTTTGATTGCCAAAGTTCGCTAATGCTCATCTTCCTTGCATATGCATAATAGTGCATATATATATATATATATATATATATTCTGTTTGTGACGATATATATATATATATAATACTAGCGAAGCGCCCGTGTGCGGGCAGTGCGGGCTACGCCCGCAGAAATAACCAATGCACTGGGTGACCTCACACTGACTGCTCGCATAAGCTCGGGGCGGGGCGTGAGTGCGGCCTTTCTTTTTTTTTTAATAAATGAGAAAGAGGGGGGACACAACGAGAAAAACAACGGCCTGCCGGGGGCCACAAAATGACAGCCACGACCACGCGAGAAATGAAAAAAGAAAAACAAAACAAAACAAAACAAAGGGGGGACACAAATCGACAGGCACAAGAAATTCAAAAAGGAAAAGTCAGACACAAAACGACGGCCAACCGGGGAAAACAAAAAAAAGAAAAGTCGCCCGCATCTCGGATGGCTCGCCTCCAAGATGTCCGTCCGCATCAACGCCAGCCGTGTGCCCCGCCTGCAGGGGCCGCCCTCTCGTTTAATGGCATGCTGTGAACATTTCGGTACGCGCGCCCCTCGGCACACTCCGCCTCCCTCGATCGCTTTAATCTGCAGCCCCTCGCCAAAACTTCCACCCAAATCCGGCACGCAGCGCGGCATGGACCTCCCCCCGCGGCCAATTCTGCTTAAGGGGGGATATGATATAATATAATATATATATATATATACAGGGTTACATGACTGAACGTTCGGGGGCCCCCGGGCGGGCTGGCCCCCGAACGTTCGGGAGTTCGGGGTCCCGTTCGGGGGCCGAACACCTCCAGGTTCGGCCCCCGCCAAAAACAATTTCGGGGCCTAAAAATACGTTTTTTTTTTTTGCATTTTTTTTTGTGAGTTCTCTATGATGTAACCTACACGCCTATAAATTTTGAAGCCATTCCGCTAAGCCAAAAAAACATTAAGAATTGTCGAAGATGGGGGTGTCAAAACGTGCTCGCCCACTCACTATTTTGTTTTTTTTTCACTTTGAACTTTTTGTTTTCACTTTATTTCGGGGCCTACAAACTTTTATTATTTTTTGAAACTTTTTTAATGAGTTATTAATTACGCAAACTACATATCTGTAAATTTTCAGGGCATTTTTCAATGCCAAAAAATAATTAAAAATCGGCAAAGATGGCGGTGTCGAAAAGGTGCTGGCACAGTCACTCATTTTAATTCTCTTTTTATTTTTTCTTATTTTTATCATAGTGTTTATTTTTTGTATTAGATTTTTAATTCAAATTTGGTAAATAATTTGGTTGTAGTACCCAGGCAAATGTTGTTTAGTTTATGTTTCTCCATAACATAGTTTGTTTTCGGAATTTTTTGAAAACGTTTTTTTTTTTTTTTGGTCCGCGTT